GGATGCATGCTTGAGTAGTGTGGGTTCTATGGTTGATGATGAAACAGGTATATTGGTGAAGTGTGGAGGTTTAAAGAAATTGAAATGGTGTGCATGTGTGGTAGGGACAGTTGGTTGAATAGGGGCTGTTGTACACTCTGGTTCCTTTCTGATTGCCTTGTCCATAGCTGCCAAAGCAGCATTAACATAGTGTTTAAGGGAAGAACTTCCCTTCTTTGGAGTTTGAACAGCCAAGGGTGACTAAGACAGAACCATAGGTATGGTGGGTGCACCTCTTTCTGATCTTAAGCCTAATGCTTCATTAGAGGCTGCAATTGCCTCATCTACAGATCTTTTTATGAACCCAACACTAGCCTGTGGATAAAYAGGGAAACCAGATAATAAATCTCTAGTTAAGGGTACAGAAACTTTTAAACCTTCGTGGAGTCTTTCTGTGAATGTTGAAGGCATGCTCTGCTTGTTCATCATGGTTGTAGCCTCTGCCAACATAGTCAATGAGGTATGCTCTGCTTGTGATGCTCCAGGTGTATTGGTGTTAGTCTCAGGACTCTCAGGTAATGAGTCACTCTCATCAGATACCTCAAAAACAGTCCCCTTTGGTTGCTTTATAGGCTTGAAATGAATCAGGCCCTTGGCTCTGCTCCTTGTCATTCGAGGGTCGGACTGATATTGAGGGATAGGTTGTGGTTCAGGCTTAAACATCACAGAAGCTTGAGTCTGGGGTTTAGTGAATGGTGCAGGTGTTGGTTTGGCAAAAGAGACTTGTCTCACAGGGATGGCATTGATAGGCTCCTCCTCACTAACATTCGGCTGTTCATGGGGCATGGAATCTTCTTCCCCTTCCCTTCTTCTTGCTTTTTTCTTTATAACGGCCATTCAAAATTGAAATAGGGGATTGTAGTGTGCCTTTGATCAAGGGTGAATGATGGTGAACAGTGGCTTGCTAAGAAAGCCGAATGGTGTGTGAACAGTGATTAGAGGTCCTTAAAGCCTCTAAATCTTCTTCTCCAAGGTTTGGTTTCACAAATTTCAAAACTTCCTCTGATCACTGTCAGTTATCGATTGATTTGTGCTATTAGTCAGGGAGCGTACCTTGCGCTGTAATGCCAGTTCTCATGAAGTCCCCTCCGTCTTGAAAACTGTTATTTGGTGAGCTAAT